GATTGTGTTCATGTTAGACGGGCGGGGAATACCGTAGCCCATTTAGTTGCTAGAAGTAATACGGGTACTAGTAATGAATGTATTTGTTCGGATACTATCCCCCAAAGTATTCAAACTTTGGCGGACCTTGATTTAATAAATTGATTCCCCGTTGTCTTGTCTTCAAAAAAAATATAAATATGAAGTATATAATAAAAGTGAATACAACTTTCGAAAATTAAGGAACATAGATATTTCGAATGTATTTTTGGCCCTCAACTTTTTTTCTTTTAATATTTATAATCTTTGTGACTTTCCACAAATTGAGGGAATGTTTGAGAAAAAATTACATATGCAATAATATTTACCGGCCTACATTGATTATTTCTTCATCTCATCTATCCAATACTTAATTTTCTTTAGTTTGGAATCAAATCATTACTTAGATTGTATTAGTAAAGTATGTAAACTGTATTAGTCTACAAAAGCTCCCTTCGATTCTACAATATATGCCACTACTTTGGCTACTATATCTGTTTTTAATTTACAAATTTTTACCTTTAATGTTTTTCTTACAATCCTCTTAGTTGTATTGTCTTATGTTTGCTTAGTTTCAAATTTCAATGCGTGTCAAATTTTTATAATTTTTTATTTATTCATAATATTGTCAAAAAAAAAATTACGTGTAATGTGTTAGCTTATAATATAAAAGAAGTGTATTACTCTATGTGTCATACTCTTTTCATCTCATCAACACAAGTGCTCATTCCTTATATATTAGGGGAATTAAGGGTAGTGAAAGAAGATGTACTGTAATATTCTTAAGAGTAGAGAAATTATTAATTATATGGAAAATGACAAAAAAAAAATTGACGTTCGTAATGAACACTCTCTTCACTTTGTTGATTAATCACTAAAAATAAGAAAAGGAGGAATCCTTTATAATTTAAAATTTTGATTGCAACTTTATAATTAATGTTTTGTTTTTTTCTTGTTTTATCTACGAAAATTGGCTATAATTAAATCTTATATAATAAATTTTGATTGGAAGATTTGCCATGTCAGCAATCTATTAGCACATATATTAACCAATCAGAATTGTTTGACTCTTTAAATACCTAATTAGATTTTTGACATGTGTTTACAAGAATTCTCTAGAAACTGTGTACTCCAATCAACAGTGTGGATGCAATTATCTTAATAGAATGGAAAAAGCTACACATACATAGTCACATACATTGAATGTATGTAGTTCCCACATACATTGTGACATGTCAACATTTTATTAGTTAATAAAATGGGCCCAAAAATCCACTATATATGAAATTTTTATTTGAATTTCAAATAATTTCTAGTTTAAACTTTGAATTTCATTTTTTTGTCATTTTCAATGTATATTTTATTTTTTTAAAAAATTAAATACATAATTGAATTAGTGTTTTTGGACGCATACTAGACAAACCAAATTAATGTTTAGTGGCCTTAGATGTCCAAGAAAATTGTTTGTGAACCTTGTTGTACTGTTTTTATCAACTGTTCTTCAGTTTGTTTATAATTACTTAACTATTCATTTATATGATTACATACATATTCATGAAAAAATATATATATACTCCATTGATAATAATTTCAACATAAATTGACTATTTCTATTTGCTAAATTATACTATATATCTGTATCTTTCTTTAACCATGCACAGTCATTTACATATCTTAGCTTTCATTTATAGGACCAAATTATAATGAGAACCAAGGCTATAATAAGAGCTATGAACTAATCTAGGCCCTTAAATCATATTAATTGGATGGCTCACATACTTCCCATGTCATTAATGACATTTCGTAATATTTCAACTTTGCAAAGTATTTTCCAGTTTTATTTCTAAAAAGTAAATAAAAAGTTAGTAAAAGTAAATGAAATCAGTCATAAAGTAAATAAAATTGCCTTAAAAGTTAAAAAACTAGAAAAAAGTTACAAAAACCGGTAATTACGAAAATGCCATTAATGAATACGGGTGAAACATGAGCCATCAGATTGAGTATGATCAATGGCTAAGATTGGTTCTTAGTTCCTATTATTCACCTTGGTTCTCACATGATCTCAATTATATATATATATATATATATATATATATATATATATATATATAGAAATAGGATCATATGAGACCACCCCCCTTATGTGAGAACCCTATTTTATGTGAGGACATATTACAACCGTTGGATCAACTACATCCAAGGGTCATAATACAACCCGGTAAAACAAACAAAACTAAACAAATTTATTTCAAAATTTATTTCCTACGTTTTTTTCTCTCTCCTCCTTCTTCTTTTTCGCTCATTTTTCTCTCTCCTCCTTCAATTCTACGGTATTCATACTCTGCTGCTCTCTGATTTTTCATCAAAACTTCTTCAATCTTCATCAATTTTCGTTAATGTAAGTCTATTGTCTATACATTTGCTGTTTTTCGATTAATTTTAGGTTACATTCATTGTTTTATTTTCGTTTTGATGTTCGTTTAATTTTTTCTGATTTTAGCTCATTAATTTAACATGCAATGTGTCGATTATGTTTTATTTTGTTATTTTTTGTTGATTTTAGCTTTATTTTCGTTTTCTTGAGTGATTATCCAGTAAATTTTAGTTTTATTTTGCCTGAATTTTGGTTTTACTAAGTGTTCTTGTTTTGGTTTTGTATTTGCAATATTATGTTGTTTTGTTGCGATTTTTGTTTGATTTTGTTGCGATTTTTGATTGATTTTCATTTTGCTTTTCGTTTCTCATCTCTGATTTTAGGTTAATTTTCGTTTACTTTGTTCTGATTTTTGATTGATTTTGTTGCGATTTTTTTGATTGATTTTCGTTTTATGTAATTTCTCAAAAATTTGTAAAATGCTGTTTGTCAAGTATCGGAAACAACAATTTGTAAAATTGATAAATAAATGGTGATAGTACAGTAAGATGCTATCAAAACCAAAAAAATCTATTTATTTCTAATAGAAACATAGCAGTAAAGCGCTAATCCTGAAGGTGTAACTGCATTCTGATGTAGCCCATATTGTTTTGATAATTCTCTAGTATTGTATAAAAGTAATAGCTCCTCTGCTTCTTGTCCAACATTAACTCAAGGCTGGAAATTAGGTAATGTTATCTTTCGATATTCTTTTTGTGATCTACATTGTTAAACTGTCTGGGTTTTGGATGATATTTGAAAAGGTCTGGAGGAAGGCAGCTAAGTCAGCCCCGTAGATGATTGCTCAAAAATTTTGCTTGTCACTTAAAGAGCATCTATGTTTGATTGCTCATTTGACAAATGAGCATCTATGTTTTTGCTCATTTGACAAATGAGTATCTATGATTTTGCTCATTTGTATAAAATTACCAACTAATTATTTACTTTTTTTTAATTGTTTTTGCTCATTTGGGAGTGTTGAATGTGTTATATTATCTAACCAGTAAAGTCGATGGTTCCGAGTCTTTTGTAAGGTCCTCCATGATGTGTAATTGCACCTTTATGTCATGTAGTCTACCTAACTTGCTGAATTTTGTTTAATCTCCTGACCTTACTGAGCTTTTCTAGAGCGCTCTATCACTATTCACTAGTTGTTACACTACCTTTCCATCATATTCCTTTCGGGAAAGGACTTCTGGGGCAATATAGGCCAGTGTTCCTACCGTCGATTTTGGTTGAGAATGTAGCACTGTAGACTATTATAATTAACAAAGATTAGTCATGATTCTGTTAAGGCTATTGTGTCTGTCTGCGAGGCTGTTAGCGTCTGTCAGTGTGGCAGGTTCTGTGCAGCTCTTGTCCTTGCAGTCTGTTTCGTTTTTCTTCAGATCTGAGGTTCTGGTTCTGTGTTTGCTGGGTGTCCTCTCTGCTGTAGTCTGTTGTTCTGCTTCAATCAGTCTGGTCCTGAAGGTTGTTGTGCTGATCCTTGGTGTGTTTGGATGCTGGCTTGGTTAGCTGAGTTCAGGTGTTGCAGGCTGCTGTTTGCTCATGCTGGAGTTAGTTGCTGTTTCTGTTTTGTGTCTTGTTCAGGCTGTTTTAGTGCCTGTTTTTCAGCTAGTTTGTGTTGTTTGTTTCTGTTTTTTTGTGTTGGCCTTTGTCCTAGTCCTTGCTTGTAGCTCCGTTCAATGAAGATGCCTTCTTGCATGAGGGTAGGTAGGTGTTTTTCCCTCTCGCCGTGTTAGGCACCCTTCCTAGAAGGTGGTCGGGGACGGGTTTGGGAAGTAGCTGGTGGTTGTGTGCCTTCGGGCTGAACTGGTTTATGACATTTGATGTTCTTGGCTGAAGAAGTTCATTGTATTTGGATTCAGAGGAATAGTGTCTTGTTTAAAGGCTCGTGTGAACCTGCTGAGACTATTTTCAGGAGACTGGTGTACATAGTTGCTTGTAAAAGCACTGAGATTGACAGAAGGAAGCTTATTTGGTCTTAGGGCAGATTGGTTTTCTTTTTAGTTTCATGGTTGTTTTATTGTATTTGCCTTGCTGTGTTGGCTAGTGTGGGCTGTTTGCTTGCTTATCTTGTTCAGGCTTGTTTTCTGAGTTCTGTTAGGCTGTTTGAGCCTGGTCCTTGCTTCTGGTACCCTTCCTAGAAGGTGAACAGTAGCTAGGATCCAGGTTTATTCTTGTTTCAGGTTAGCACCCTTCCTAGAAGGTGGTTAACCTTGAGCCTTGAACTGGTTTTTGTGGTTGTTTGGCCTTGTGGTCTTTGTAGTTTGGATGGGCTGTTTGCTCTTTTTTTTTTTTGTACTGTGTACTTTTCTTCTTGGTAATAAATTTTCTATTTACCAATAAAAAAAGCTTAATTCATTTGAAATTAAGCTTTAATAACAGAACAAAAATCTAATATCAGAGAATAAATATAATGAAATGTACTCCATAATTACGCATTCTCTCCTGTTTGTTTTGTCATTTATAGTATTGCAGTAAATGGAATTTACTCATTTAAGTCTATGTTTTTGCTCATTTGACAAATGAGTATCTATGGAGTTCTTGAAGGTGACCCAACTGCCTTTGCAGCTGGGTTTATGGTTGGTGCATCACTTTGATGCTAACACATGCTCTTTAAACATTCCAGATTCTGAACCTTTTTGTATCACTGAAGAGCATGTGCATCAAGTACTTGGGCTGCCAATGGGTGGCATAGAAATTGACAAAAATAATTTTTCCAGAGATAAGAAAGTGATTCAGAAATGGAAGAAGCAATTCAAAAGCAACTCACTCTCTATCAAAATAGGGGAGCTGAAAGAGTTTCTGAAAGAGCATAACTCAGCTGGTCTTATGTTCAAAAGGAACTTTGTAGTGCTATGCGTTTCTACATTGATGGATGGTAAACTTTTTATTTTTATTTTGCTTATTTTTAGTTATAGTTAGCACTTAGCAGTTGTGTGCTATATATAGCAATTATATTATCTAAGTTGTTGGTCATATATGTATAGAATCAGTTACTTGAATCTATACATCATTAGATAGAGACTATTGACACTTTCAGAATAAGATATATATATATGTATTTATCTTTTGTTCTATTTATTTATATTTTGATGGATTATTGTTGTTAGTCAATGATGAGATGGGTGAAAAAATTTGGAATAGGATTTGGTACATACTTCATATTAACATACTTGTCAAAAAATTTCAAGTTATATTATAAATTAGTTATATCATCAGGAAAAGGTGGAGAGTCAACATCATGGTTTAAATTTTATAGGAGTTTGCTAATTTTCAATTTTGTTTGCTTATTTATATTATATTTTGTTCATTTAAATTTCCTTTTGCTCATTTTTCTTTTGTTTTGCTCATTTTTTTTTCAGGGAAACAAAATGTGAATATCAATTATGATATTCTCACATTTCTTTCTGATGTTGATAAAATAAAGGACTTGAATTGGTGCAAGTATATCCTTGATTCACTTGTGAAGGCCAAGCTTTTCTGGGAAGAACGTCAAACTCGTTCTTTTCCTGGATCTTTACTGTTTCTTATGGTATTACTTTAATTTTTGTTGTTTTTTTAATGTAGTATTTTTTACTTATTTGTTGATTTTTAATTTACTAATTATTTTTTCTTACTTGTTTGTAGCTATTGTATGTATTAATTTTTATTTGTTTAATTTTAATGTACTAATTTTTTCTATCTTACTTGTTTGTAGCTTTTATACGTTGATCAGTTTGTCATTGAGGAAGTTAAAGCCAAACGAGAAACTCCAGTTCTCAAAGGTTGGACAACCAATATGTTGTCAAGTTGTGAGAAATTGGAAATTTTTAAGGGGAGGCTTGGAGTTTTTTATAAAAACCAGAAGCTTGTTGGTCCTTCTGGCAGCAAACAACCAAAACTGGTATTTCACTTGTAACCAATACTTAGTTTTTCTATGTCTTTGGCATTGCTTGAAGAATTGAATTGGAACAAATCTTGCTTTAAGGAAAATGATGCAATGTGGTGCTTTTATAGCACATTAATGGACCTCCTAAATCAGCAAAAAAATATTTGCTCATTTGTCAAATGAGCAATTATTTTTTGCTCATTTGATACTGTGTGATTTGGATGAAAATTACACAATTATGTAATTTTTTTTTGTTTTTTTTGTTTTTGCTTGATTTTAGGAACAATCTGATCCAATTCATACAAAAAATGAAGAAATTGAACAAGATCCGAAGAAGGTATTTATATGACTTTTCTGGAAACTTATATTAATTTGCTCATTTTTATATGACTTTGCTCATTTTTTGTTTTTGTTTTTTTTTCCTAATTTTTGTTATTTTTTACTTAATTGTGAATTTGTATTGTTGTTTTGTGAATTTGGGGATTGCCGTGCGATGAAAGAGTAGGGGGTTAAAAGGTTGGGGGTGTGCGAGTTGTTATTAGCCCAATCCCTATCCTCCCTAAGATACATCTTCTGGTTAGCTTTAAACATAAATCTGATTAGCTTTAAACACCTCATATGGTAAAACCTCCTCATTAACATGTGTAGGTGTTTGCTCATTTGATAAATGAGTAATCAACTATTTGCTCATTTGGTAAATGAGCAAAAAATTGATTGCTCATTTGACAAATGAGCATCTATGTTTTAATTTACTACATGAAAGGACTTTTAGCTATTGGGGAAATGGATTTAAGGATCCAGGTGTAGTGTTAAATGATCCTCTAATTGTTAGCAAAAGAAAACTCTAACAAGCTGATCATGATTTTGCTCTAAAGTTTGGTACTCCTTTAAGTATTCAAGATGGTCTTGGCTTCTTTCCATTATTATGAATTAATTTTTTTTTTTTTTTTTTTTATAGAAATGCCTTATGGAGCTTGCAACAGCATCTACAAATCTAGTCTTGGCATACATGGATTTCAGTGAAAAACATGAAACTGTTGTTAAGTATTTTCCAAACAATGAGAAGATTCAAAAGCTGAAGGAAGATGCAATGACTGTTTGTGATGAGCAGAAGATGAGCTCTAAAGCTTTGACTGAAGATATTCCTCTCTCATTTAGCCAAGATGAACAGTATTGGCAAGATCCAGCTGTAATTGAAGCTTGGGATAGGTTTTCGAAGATTTCAGGCAATGACAAGCATGTTGAATCTACAATTTATGCTAGGGTTGATCAACTGATTGAATCAGAACCAATTGATATTACTAAGATTGCTGCTGAATGTGTTGACATAGCAAGTGGTATACCTGATGTTGAAGATCCATCTGTTATCATACAGCCTAAGGTTACTGAACATGTATTTAAAAAACTTGGAGAGTCAAGTACGAGATATAGTTTAAGAAGTTAAGTTGCCAAAGGATGTGGAACTCCTTCATTCAGCTTAGGAATCTCTTCTCAAGATGATTCTCAGGAGAAGTCCCCCAGCATTGCACCTACTGATGAACCTGTAGTTGCTCCTGTGAGTGCACAAGTTGGTGCTTCTAAATCAGTTGATGATGCTGATGCTGTGAATGCTCAAGAAGACCCAATTGCGCTTAAGAGAAAAGGAGATGCTGAAAATGAGAGTTGTATTCCAAAGAAGCGTAAAGTGCAACCATCGTTGCAAATAAGATCTCCTTTTAAGTCTCGGATTATCAACATATATACACCATTAACAGCAGTTCAGAAAGGTGTTATGGATTCATTTTTTCATGAGAAGAAAAATCGTTTGTAAGTATTTATTCAATTTTTTCAGTTCTGGAAATTTTGGCAACTGACTTTATTTTTCTTTCTTATAACAAGTCTAGCTCTATATTCTCACTTTACATATCTACGATTGAAATTATTTTAACTTCCCTAAATCTTATATGTAGTGATGCAGGGTTTTTATGCAAGGGTGAGCCTGATAATGAAGTAATGCTATTTCAACTTGAAATGCTAAAAACTCAGAGCAAAATTCATGGCGATATCATTAATGCATGGTCTACTGTTCTGAATTTTAATGAGCAATATAAAGATGTCAATTCTTGTGGACGTTTCTTTTTTGGTCTTAATGTTGTTGTAAGTTCAACTCATTCATTTTATTTTGTTTTATTTTGTTCATGTTCACTTTGCTCATTTCATATAATTTTTTTATATTTGAATGTAGATGTTGTTTTGTATTTGCAAAAACTATTATTAGTTCTTTGCTCATTTGTCAAATGAGCAAACTATTCAATGCTCATTTGTCAAATATTCTTGCTCATTTGTCAAATGAGCAAAAATTAAATACTGAACTAATTCAAGTCTCTTATTGGATACTAAATAACATAAAATCTTTTGATAAAATATTTGAAATACAGAACTAATAATAATATAAATTCTGACTTCCTTGGTCTGAATCAATGTATAATCAGTGTTTATGAGTTGTATTATGGTCTAATTTTGGTCCCGCACAATTCGGACTCTTATTTATGACCTGTATTATGGTCTGAAACAGTGACGAGTGAGAATTCACAGACATGCTGCATCTATAATTCTATATGGTCTTAAACCAAAGGACTTAATTCTTTATGTTTATGATGCTATCTGACAACTAACATTCTGTATGTTCTGTAATTACATAAATAATTGAATGATAGCTGCAATTAATTCTTTGCTCATTTGCCAAATGAGCAGTTAATTTTTTGCTCATTTGTCAAATGAGCAAAACATTCACTTGCTCATTTGTAAAAAAAAAATTTCAATTTACTCATTTTATGACTTTTCTCATTTCAAATTCACTTTACTCATTTCTTATTTACTCTTTTCATTTATGTTCATCTTATTTATGTATTTTTCTTTATTTATTTTTTTAGGATTGCCTTTTTCAATACGAAAGTGATCGTGCTCAAGAAAGGAATAAAATGTTTTGTGAGGTTGTGGAGTTGGAATTCAGCAAAACAATCATCCCAAAGAAAGATATTGAGCTTTTCTTTTTCCCGGTATTTGAAAAGGATCATTATTATCTGGTATGTTTTAACACCACCACAGACTGTGGTACAATTGAGGTTATTGATTACAGTGAAGGTCCTAGAGAAAATAAGAAATTGCTTAAAAATCTGGTATGTCTTCTGCCACTTCTTCTTCATCATTAATATCCTCATTGATGCCTGCCATGTTGTTACCAGATTCTTTATTCATGTCTCCTCTCATTATATCACTGGTACCCTAACCCTTTCAGAGGATTCTCCTCTGAATTTCTTCTTTCTCCCATAACAAGAAAATACACACACACACACTCACGCCAGAGACACACACACACACATACACAGGCACACACACACACACACACACACGCATACACACACACATACACACACGCACACATACACACACACACACACAAGCAAAGTCTTAAATAGTCTCTGTCTCTGACCTCACTTTGAATCTATTCATGGTCAGCTTGATTCTTTCGGGATATATGACATGTAAATCTTTTCTAGAGGATACTTGCAAAACTCTGTGATTTATTTTTCTACATAATGTGCATCTCTGCATTTGAACAATGTGTTTGAGAGTTTCTGATTGTATACAGGCACACACACACACATACACAGGCGCACACAAACACACACACACACACACACAAATACACACACACGCATACACACACATACACACACGCACACATACACACACACACACAAGCACACATACAACCTGTAATAGAATCTGAAATCAGATTCTGAAATTAGTTTTTGGAATCAGAATTGTGTAATGTGTGGGTAGGTGGCAGTAATGGCTCAAGATTTTGTTAGATTATTTTAGAAAAATGATTTGAGTTTAGTTGTTTATCTTGATCTTGTTCTGCTTGTTCTAACTATATTTGTTCCACCTGTTTTTGTTCTTATTTTAACTTATTTGTTCATTTTCAGAAAAGTGCATTTTCATATTTCATGAATGGTGAAGGAAGTATACAAAGTGTTGTTTTGTCAAAACAAATCAAGTCTATGGAGTCTGTTGTGGTTGATTTACCTTGGAAGTCTTCAGATGATTATCATTTGCATTGCGGTGTTGCAATGATGAGGCATATGGAAACATATATGGGTTTGCAAAAGTGGAATTCAGGTTTAAAGAAAAATAATGTAAGTCTAACCAGAAAAAGTCTTATTTCAATTTTTATAATTTGATTCTTCTGGAATGAGAAATCTGCACTTTTTAGATTAAAATTTGTGAGCAGCTTGTTGATATACATTCATGAAGCCATTACTTACCCTATACTTACTCTGAATTATTGCTTCATTTTTTCTCTTTGCAGGACATAATCATTGACAAACTTCGTTTGAAGTATACCCTCTCAATTATTTCAAGTGAAGTAAATACTGTTAAACCTGTTAAACAAGTTGTCCAAAAGAAAAAAAAGGCTGAGGAAGCAAGTGATGCTGAAGAAAGCTAGGGGGAGCAATCCAAGAGCAATTAACGGAGAGAATTGAAGACTGAAGTTGATCAATTGTTCTTAGGATTTGTATAGTTTTTGTACAAAACAATAGAAGTGTTAGTTTTATGATGTTCTTAATAGGACAAATGTGATAAATGTTCTTAGTTGATCTAATGTTTTTATGATGTTGTTAGGATTTTCTAAGTATAAATTTTGCTATGTCAATGTAATGGATATGATTTTCTATCTTATTGACTAAGTTGTTTGTCATTTGTTAAATTCCTGATTAACTATTTGAGCAACTGACTATTTGCTCATTTGCTAAATGAGCAAAGAAATGTTTTCTTATTTTTTAAATAAGTAACTAATTATTTGCTCATTTAAAAAATGAGGAAACTAATGCTTACTCATTTCACAAATGAGCAAAGAAATGGTTGTTGATTTAATGTATTATTAAAAGGAATGTTTACTCATTTGACAAATGAGTATTAACTATTTGCTCATTTGACAAATGAGTATTAACTATTTGCTCATTTTCCAAATGACCAAATAAATAATGCTAAATCTTATATTTATATAAAAATATTAACTTTTATATTTGTATAAAAGTATCATTATACAAATATCAGCAAATATCTAGTTAATTTAGCCTCTATGATTTTGAAGATTAGGGTATGTTCTCTTTATTGAACTCATTGTATAATATCTTGGATTGGACTATTTCTGTTACCAAGGACATTACAATAGCTTTGGTATAATTACATATGTGTGTATGATAGATAAACAGAGCTTGCAAAATATTTTCTCATTTCAACAAAATTTAAAACACAAAATGCTAAATCATATATTTATATAAAAATATTAACTTTTATATTTGTATAAAAGTATCATTATACTTTGTTTGGACAATTTCTAATATCATGATGACTCAATTCACCACAACCTCTACATAATCTCTTCTTTTTCTGGTTTTGTTCTACAACCTTTTCTTTTTCTCCCTTTAGCCTTTTTGCACTTCTACCTCTTGTTTCAACATTTGGCACATCAATATCAGCCCCTTTCTCTTTTGAAGTCTCTACATTTGATACATGAATTCCAGTCCCTTTATTCTTTGAAATTTTTGGAGGTTTGACAATTATTTCAGTTGGCACACTAGCTCCAATCAATAGCTCAATGTCTTGTCCTTTGTTGTTTGCACTTCCTGTTGTTTCATTATTCCTTGCAATCCTCTTAGCCTCCAAATCCTTTCTTATTCCTTGAAGATTTATCACAAGATCTTGAATATCTTCATCATTGCCTTCTGCCAAACTTACACAAGTGTGTATCTCTGACCATAAATCATTTAACAATTTTTTCTTGTCAATTAAATTAGCACATTGATCCAACAGGTTTCCACCCAAGTCAAAAATTGGTTTTTTCAGTGCCATAGTAGTCCATCTGTGTAGCATATACTGCTCAGGAATGGTTTCAAACCTTTTTGCTTTCCAAACCCAAATCATATGTCTACATGGAATTCCTTATCTATAAAACAACTTGCAAGAACATGTGGTGTCAAAGTTAGTTGGATTAAACACAACATCAAATGTTCTAATCCGATTTCCTTCACTTACTTTTGCAACTTCCAATCCATTTTCTTTCTTCAATTCATCAACACCACATGAAAAATAAGCAATTTCAACCTCATATTGAAATTCATAAAAGACAGAGTTAGTATATAAATGTGAGGCATGCTTTTCTATCCCTAGTGGTGTTTTGCACTCAGGATATTTGTGCTTTGAATCATTATCATTCTGACCTTGAGTGTGTCTCTGCGCATCAATTGCAGCTTCATATCTCAAGTAAAACTCAACAAGTGACACATGAGGATTGATAAAGGAGCAAAAAAAGTTGTTTTCGCTTTCGGATCTTGATGTTGTACGCATTATTCCTCCAAGGAACACATCTCTGAAATACGCCGGAATCCACTTGTTCCTTATCTTGTACATATAACCTAACCACTCATGTTCTTCCAAGTGGTATTCAACCATCACCTTGTTCCACCTTTCTTCAAACTCAGCAGGTTCAATTTCAAGATGCCAAACACAAGCACATAATTTTTTTAGGAAATCAGTTTCTTCTTGCATGATTGATTTCTCCACCTTATCTGGTAACTTTTTCATTATGTTCCACATACAGAAGCGATGTTCAGTCTTGTTAAACACACTTTTAACAGCAATTTTCATTGCTGGATCTTGATCTGTAGTCATACAATTCGGTTCATTTCCACCCATTGCCTTGAGAAATGATCTGAACAACCACTCAAATGACACTATATCTTCCTTTGCTATGAAACCAGCAGCAAAAGTAATGCAGCTCTTATGATGGCAACCCCTGTAAATGGAGTAAACACCATGTTGTACCTGTTTACACATACAGATTAAATTTTAAATGATCAAATAACTACACACACACATAAATACACAGACACACGTACTTAGACACGGACACACACACGCACACACACATATACACATACATACACGCACTCACAATCTGTGATAGAATCTGAATTCAGATTATGAAATCAGAATTGTCATCAGCTACTGAAATAATTCAATGCTCATTTGACAAATGGGCAAATAATTGATTGTTCATTTGTCAAATGAGCTTATAAATCAATGCTAATTTGTGAAATAAGCAAACAATTGTTTGCTTTTTTGTCAAATGAGCAAATAATTGAATGCACATTTCTGAAATGAGCAAATAAGTCAATGCTCATTTGTGAAATAAACAAACAGTTATACTAAGTTCATTTAAAACAAAGTTATTAATTTAAGCTATAGTTATAACATAAAAATGATTTGTGATTTTTATGAATTACCTATTGGTTTGGTATGTGGTATCAAAGGATACCATATCACCAAATAGAGCGTAACTCTTTTTACAAAGGGGATCAGCCCATAATGCTCTACAAAGGCAATAATCATCATCCATCTCAAAATCAAAGAAAAAAGCGCTCCACATTAACTTTTTGTTGGTAAAGTTATCCACGAACATTTGAGCATCACTTCCTTGAATGTATGCTTTCAAATCTCTATGAAAATTTTTGAAATCTTGCTTAGATGCACCGATGTTATCATATCCTCCAACAATTTCCTTCATCATTCGAAAAGTTGTAACAGGACCAATATTCACCTATTTAAAGAACAAAACAGTTTGTCAAATGAGCAAATAATTTAATTCTCATTTTTCAAATGAGCATACTACTTTTATTAGAACATACAGAGAATTCATGAAACATAAGAGGCTTTGAAAGTCGTACCTTAAAATTATTCACAATTATTTTTTTGTGCAATATGTTCATTTTTCTTCCTTCTTTTTGGAAGAGATTGCAACTAGGTGTATAAAGTGGATGAGTATGTCCCTCATGAAATTGTGACACTATGAATTTGTTATCATCACAATGCTTTATGATAATATGTGCCTTGCACCCAACACGAGTAACGAGTCTCTTCCTTTTGATTGAAGTTTTTTCTTCATTGCTTTCTCCTTCGTTGTTATTTAAATCTTTTTCAACAGTAGGCTTTCTTTTCTCTTTGTATCCTTCTTTATTGCATAAGATATACTGTGACTTCAATTCTTTGCTTCTTCTTTGCCTTTTAGTTGTAGATTTTCTTGTGTTGAATCCAGCAGCAAATGCGTATCTTTTATAAAATTCAAGGCCCTCTTCAAGATTATTAAACTTCATCCCTATAGCTGGTTTCAACCCATTGGGGCATATTGGAAGCCATTCTTTTGTTCCTCCAGGAGTGAGCAAAGGTGCTACTTTAGGAGAAACTACTATTGTAGGAGTAGTTGCCACATTTGTGATGGTACTAGAATGACTGTCAAGTTCTTCATTGTTGCTCATCATTTCTGAAATCAGATTCAGAATTCAGAATTGCAAACAAAAAGATGAGGGGGGGGGAATAGGTTTGTATAAGTAAGTGTAAGAAGGGAATGTGGTTGGTGTGCAGGAAATAGACCAAGAAGAAGGGGGGTGGGGCTTGTGTGCAGGCAAGAAAACCAAGGAACTCAATGATTTGATATCAGAAATGATGATTTGAAAAGGAGTAAAACTTGATAATGCTACCCTTCAATATGTTTTGCAAAACCTAGCATATATAGCATTCAGTATAGCATAGTATAGCATATTTGCCAGCAAAAACCATACATTCTTAGACACACACACACACTCTAACACATGCACTCTTACACTCACTTACACACACACACACACACACATACACACAGTAATTTCATATTATCACAGCACACAGAAGTGCTCAATCTAAGAAGCACAACCACTTGCTCATTTGATAAATGAGCAACTAAATATTTGCTCATTAGCTACAGCTACCTCTTTCACTTTCACTGCTTCTACAACTCATGTTAATGAGCTGAATCCCATTTCTCACCCTCTTTCTTACACTGTACAATTACCACCACCACCAAACTCTCTCTCCTTCCTCTGCCCCTGTCCCTGTACCTTACCACCACCAATATCACCACCACAACCTGTCGCACTCTCACTCCCTCGCCGCCACCCCTGTCCCCTGCACCCTACCACCACCATAATTACCAACTTATTTTGCTCATTTTCTCCTTTTTATATTTGCTCAATTTAATTATGTTTGCTCATTATATGTTTTTATATTATTACAAATATTTAGGTTTGCTCATTTTCAATTCATTTGCTCATTTTAAATTTGATTGCAAATTTTCAATTTCTATCAAATTAATCAAACCTAAATTTTTGATTTAATTCAAAATATTTCAAAGAAGTAAATTCAATCAAATCCATAATTGATGCAATTAAACAAGCAATTCAATGAGAACAGAACAAACCTCAAAAATCGAAAATTCACATGCAATTAACATGCAATTCAATAACCTGGTGATTGATGCAATTAAATATGCAAATTAATAAGAACAGAACAAACTAAAAAATCAAAAATTATCATCCAATTAACATGTAATTCACCTGGCGAATTTGATTTGTAGCAGCGATGGAAATGCGATTAGTAATTGATGATTTGTAGTGCAAGGCGAGCAAGGTCGGTGTGAACTTGCTTATGATTAATTTGATGAAGCAATTGATGAAGCAATTTGAAGCAATGAGAAACAGCGTTACTGATTAGCCGCCATTGATGAAGCTTCGTGGTGGAGAGAGAAGTTAGTTAGCTAGGTGGAGAGAGATGACAGTTAGGTGGTGTATTTACTGATTTTTTCATTACTATGCGCTTTTTCATCCGTCAGATCTATTTAGTTCAAGGGCCCAGATTTGGTCTCATATAAGAGATGGTCTCATATAGGGGGATGGTCTCACCGGATCCCGACCCTATATATATATATATATATATATATATATATATATATATATATATATATATATATATATATATAGGGTCGGGATCCGGTGAGAACCACCCTTTATGTGAGAACCCACACCTTATGTGAGAACAAATCTCAGCCGCTAGATTAGATGAAATCCAACTGCTGAGATTATAAGCCTGCCTACAAACTAACTTTCAGCATCTAATTTATCTCTCCCCTCTATTCAGTCTGCAAATCAAAGCTCATCAATGGCGATTTACTTATCAATGGCGATTCACTGAGTATGCTATTCTTTCGGCAAATTTCAGCGGTTTCTTTCTGCAATTTTCAACGGTTTCTTTTTGCAAATTTCAACGGTCGCAATTTCATCCACCATTGAGGTTTGTTTGTTTGTAATTTTAATTTTGAATTGCATGTTAATCTGAATATTCAATATATTTTGATTTTACATCTCTGAAAAATTTGGAATTGCATGTTAATTTTCGAATTGAATTACATGTTAATTTTCGAATTACATTAATCGAATTGAATGTTTAATTGCATCAATTATTTGATTGAATTGAATCAGTTATTTAGGTTTGATTAATTTGATAGAGATTTTAATAATATCATATTAAACTTTATAGTTATTGAATCAATTATTTATGTTCTTATTTTCAATCAAATTCAAAATGAGCAAACCTAAATATGTATAATAGAACATTTAAAAATAAAATGAAATGAGCAAACCTAAATATGTATAATAGAACAAAGTGGATATGAAATGAGCAAAGTCATATAAAAATGAGCAAATTGAACTTTGCTGCTATTATGTTCTTATTTTCATTCAAATTCAAAATGAGCAAATAAATTAAAATGAGCAAACCTAAATATGTATAATAGAACATTTAAAATGAGGTAACTACAATTAAAATGAGCAAATATTAATGACATTCATAAGTAATTCAAGGATCTATAAGTTTTGCAAATATTAGCTTGTAAAAACACTAAGTATACAGAATTGTGTATGTATGTGTGTGTGAGTGAGTGTAACAGTGTGTCTGTGTGTGAGTGTGAGTGTGAGTGTGATTGAGTGTAAGAGTTTATATATGTGGGCATTGAATTGCATGTTCATTTGACAAATGAGCAAACCTATCCCCCCCTGCCCCCTCCTCTTTCTGCTTGCAATTCTGATTTCAGAAACTGATTTCAGAAACTGATTTCAGTTATAATTATAGATTATGAAATTATTGAGTGTGTGTGTTTGTATGTGTGTGTGTGTGTGTGTGTGTGTGTAAGTGTGTATCTATGTCTATATGTGTGTAAGTTTGTTTAAGAATCTGATTTCAGTTCTAATTATTAAGAGTGTATGTGTGTGTTTAAGTGTGTTTAAGGAGGTGCATATTCACAAATGATGAGCAACAACGAACAAGTTGAGAGTCAATCAAGTACCATCACAAATGTGCCAACTACTCCTACAATAGTGGTTTCTCCTAAAGTAGCACCTTTGATCACTCCTGGAGGAACAAAAGAATGGCATCCAATATGCCCCAATGAGTTGAAACCAGCTATTGGGATGAAGTTTAATAATCTTGAAGAGGGCCTTGAATTTTATAAAGGCTATGCATTTGCTTCTGGTTTCAATACAAGGAAGTCTACAACTAAAAGACAAAGAAGAAGAAAAGAATTAAAATATCAGTATATCTTGTGCAATAAGGAAGGATACAAAGAAAAAAGAAAGACTACTGTAGAAAAAGATTTAAATAACAAGGAAGGGGAAAATAATGAAGAAAAATCTTCAATCAAAAGGAAGAGACTCGTTACTCGTGTTGGGTGCAAGGTACATATTGTCCTAAAGCATTGTGATGATAACACATTCATAGTGACAAAATTTCATGAGGGACATACTCATGCACTTTATACACCTAGCTGCAATCTATTCCAAAAAGAAGGAAGGAAAATGAACATTTTACACAAAAAAATAATTGTGAATAATTCTAAGGTAACACTTTCAAATTCTCTTATGTTTCATGAATTCTATGTATGTTCTAATAAAAGTTGTTTGCTCATTTGACAAATGAGCAAATAATGAGCATTGAAGTGTTTCATGAATTCTCTTATGTTTCAAATTCTCTTATGTTTCATGAATTCTCTGTATGTTCTAATAAAAGTTGTTTGCTCATTTGACAAATGGGCAAATAATTTTTTTCTCATTTGACAAATGAGCATTGAATTGTTTGCTCATTTTAAAAATGAGCATTGAATTATTTGCTCATGTGACAAACTGTTTTGTTCTTTAAATAGGTGAATATTGGTCCCGTTACAACTTTTCGAATGATGAAGGAAATTGTTGGAGGATATGAAAACATTGGTTCATCTAAGGAAGATTTCAAAAAATTTCATAGAGATTTAAAAGCATACATTCAAGGAAGCGATGCTCAAATGTTCGTGGATAACTTTACCAACAAAAAGCTGATGTGGAGCGCTTTTTTTCTTTGATTTTGATATGGATGAAGATTATTGCCTTTGTAGAGCATTGTGGGCAGACCCCCTTTGTAAAAAGAGTTATGCTCTATTTGGTGATATGGTATCCTTTGATACCACATACTAAACCAATAGGTAATTCATTTATGTGTTATTACTAGCTATGGATGAAATTAATGACTTTGTTTTGAATAAAATTAGTTTAATTGCTCATTACTTCTATGTGAAAATTGAATATCCCCATAAATCTAATATTCTTTGATAAGAGTATGTATATGGGCATTGAATTGCATGTTCATTTGACAAATGAGCATTGAATTATTTGCTCATTTGAAAAATGAGCATTGAATTGTTTGCTCATTTCACAAATGAGCATTGAGTTATTTGCTCATATGACAAATGAGCATTCAATTATTTGCACATTTGACAAAAGAGCAAAGAATTGTTTGCTTATTTCACAAATAAGCATTGAGTTATTTGCTCATTTGACAAATGAGCAATCGATTATTTGATAATTTTTCAAATGAGTATTAAATTATTTGCTCATTTAAATTTTATTTTGTATGTGTAAACAGGTACAACATGGTGTTTACTCCATTTACAGGCGTTGACCATCATAAGAATTGCATTAATTTTGCTGCTGGTTTCATAGCAAAGGAAGATATCGTGTCATTTGAATGGTTGTTCAGATCATTCCTCAAGACAATGGGTGGGAATGAACCTAATTGTATGATCACATATCAGGATCCAGCAATGAAAATTGCTATTAGAAGTGTGTTTAAGAAGACTGAACATCGGTTCTGTATGTGGCACATAATGAAAAAGTTACCGGATAAGGTGGAGAAATCAATCATGCAAGAAGAAACTGGTTTCCTAAAAAAATTATGTGCTTGCGTTTGGCACCTTGAA